TAATAAGTACAATAAGGTTTACTTGCAAATGATATGATTTATTAGTCATTTTCCTGTTGGTGGAACAAAATACCTGATAAACACAACTTAAAGAAAGGGAGGTTTATTTTAGCTCACAGTTTTAGAAGGTTCAATTCATAGCCAGATAGCTTCAAGGCAAAATCAGAGTGGTGGGGTAGCATGGAAGAGGGAAGCTGCTCAATTCATGGTAGCCAGAAAGCAGAGAAAAAAGGAAAAGAGGGACAAGACTATACCTCTTCCAGGTCACACCCCAGTGACCCAACTCATCCAATGAAGTCCCACCTCTGAACACATAAGATTCTTAGGGGACATTTCAGATCTAAACCATAACAGCGATTACATAAAGAATTACACAAAAAAAAGTTTCTAGACTAAAAGACCTTAGCAATGTCATAGGACAAAAGATCAGTATAAAAGCCAATTAATTCTACAAATCAATAATAAACAGTTCAAGTCAAAATTTAAAATAAATACCCATTCTGATAGCTTCCCCCAAAATGAAATACTTGGGGATAATTATAATATGTACAAGACTTTTACACTGAAAATAAAAAATACTGTTAACAGAAGTTAAAGTAATAAAAATGTTATTTGTGGATTCAAAGAACAAATACTGTGAAGATTTCATTTCGAACTATTTTAAATATGTACATTTGAATAAATTCATATCTCAGTAAAATTTGTTTAAAAGTTTATTGAAGTATTATTGACACAAACTTTCCTTTAACAGATTTGCATACCAGGTCTGTATAACCTATATATGCCAAGGACCTCCAAGCCATAAAATTAAGTGTAGAATCTATCTAATGCATCCTCCAAGAGCCTCTAAGGAATAATCTCAAAAGATCTAGGGAAGTATTAAAGTTTGTATCTAGATGTTCCCCTAAAGCCTCATGTGGACATAGCTGGGGCTATTTGGAGGTGGCTGGATCTACAGTGTGTGAAAATAGATTAAGGATGTGGGATAACTAAATTAGTCCACTGCTCGGTTTAGTATAGTTCTAGGTGTGGATAATGAGAAGTCTCACATTGGATGTGGGTGTTACCATTCCATAGGCTTTTAGCCTGGATAAAATAAAAGAGAAAGGGAGGCTGGCTACTGGCTTTCTGCCTGTCCTGCTTAGAACTGCTTCTGCGCTGCCATGTAATCCTGTCTTGTAGCCAGCGAACTATACACTGAAACCTCTTCAAACTGTGAGCTAAAATAAATCTGTCTTCCTTTAACTAGTGGGTGTCAGGCATTTTGTCCCAGTAATGAAAAAGTAACTAAGATAGAAGGGCTTGGGAAAGACCCCACACATACTTTTTTCAAGCGCAATAACCAGGATATGATTACTGATGCCAGGCCTATAGAAAACGAGGCAGTATGAGTACCTAATAACAGTAGCAGAACCAGTAGTAATAAACCTGAAAAAGCTTCAGTATTGTAATTGTAAATAAAACTTGCTTATATTCTATTTGAAAAATATAATTGTATTTATAATATTTCATATTATATACTTGATATATTTATAATATATTTTATACTTATATA